GTTGTTCTTATGGATCCAAAGGGGGTTCCTGAGCTCCAACAGCTGATCTTATCCACCCTTTGTGCTATGGAGGAACACGCTGTCTTCCATTTCCTTGAACTAGAAGAGGCTTTACCACACTGATAAGCATGCTTTCCTCTCCCGCTTAGCTAAAACTTGGCCAAGTTACCTCTAAAACAGCCAGAAAGATATCGTTTTCCCTCCTAGTTTTTCTCTGGGGGACCAGGCTGAGGATGAAAGCGCCGGAGAGAGGGGAGGGTGACTACTGTTTGCAGCTATGCGTGCCAGTGGTGTGATGCTGCATGCCACCAGTTTAGTTTGATTTATTCAGAGATCAGTGTACCTCATAGCGTTCGCAATATCATGCATGCATAAAAATTCAGACTTTTCCTTTGCTTCTCCCAATACAACAGGACTTTTCCCACTGTGGTGCATCTCCTGCTCTGATATTAAACCTTCCAGGCAGAATTCTGCAGTTCCCTAAAAGAAGTTATCCTGTGCCAAACAGATCTTGGCATTAGGAAACTTTTCCCTGTACTTATTACTCCTTGAATATTGTTGTAAAATGCATACAGATGGTTACATTCCTGTATCACTTATCTCCTATATTATGGTATAGAATTTCCCCCTTAGCATCATCTGTGCTGCATTCAGGCTGTTGAGTTTCTCCGAGCCTTTCCTGCCTTCTTTGAGAAGGAAGATCAACATCAGCTGCATTGTTGACCCAAACTGATTGCATGGTCTGCTTTGCACTGTAATAGTTCTGTCTAGAATAATGCTGTGGTCCCTGCTTCTCTGTAAAAACATAGTTTTTTGCCTTTAAGCAGCCATGGTCAATGCTGGGAAGAAAAGAAGTGAGAAGCGAAACTTGGCGTACGCGTGGTACTTGTTACGCCCTCACTGCTGTTGTGAGGCTGGATCCCGGGGGTGTTCGCTGATGCTGGGAGGTACTAACATCGCCGGAGCCTTGCCGGCGCGCAGCCAGGGCCTGGGCCGCCAGCCAGCCGTCGCTAGATAGGGTTATCCCTGCCATGGCTGGAGGGCCAGTCCTTTGGCAGCTGCTTCCTTTTGAAGTGCTCGAATCTTATTAAATAACAGAGCAGAGTGAGAGGTCCTCTCAGTCTGTGAAAGTAGGTGCTAGTGATAGAAGTACTTTAGTGACTAAAGAGACTGAAGGAGGGCTTATGTTAGGAGTTCCTCCTTTTGGGGGAGAAGTAGGGTACCACACTCCTCATTTGTGGGCATCTGGTTTCGGATAGTTACAGGCATATTTCTGCATGCCCAAATGTGGCTTTGGTTGCTTGCTGGGTCGGTAAAGCTACCCCGAAGCATGTCTTATTTCTGTAGCCACACTGCAAAGTGTGAAGGCAGTAACGAAGGTGTAAAGCAGGGGCAGGAACATGGCGAACCATGCTGCAAGGATGGCTGAGGTTAGCCCCGGGGCCCGGGCTCAGCAAGCCGCTCGCTGTGCGCGCCGGCTCGGCGTGTGAGCGTCTGGCTGGCTGCACGGGCATCGCGGGTTGTGGTCCAGCAAGCGTGAGGAGCTCACAGGAGTTAACTGCCGCCAGCACGAGGCCCCTCCGTGTTGTGTGGCCGTGGTGTGGGGGGTCTGTGCGATGGCGAGAGGCAGCGCGTCCCATCAGGTCGGTGTTGCTGTCCGGGAGCTGCTCGATCGTCTGATCTCGGGCAGGTCCACAGTCAGACATTTTCCTTGCAGTTTTCTAGGTCACAGGTTATTTTCTGTTTCAGGCATGTTCCACGTATCTGGGAGTTGATCTCGGATACTGCGTTGGCTGCTACTTAGCTGGTCAAATTTCATCTCTAAAGGAGATCACAGCAGGCCCAAAAGCAAGACTTTCACCAGTGGCCTATTAATTTTAATTATTTAATTTCATTGTGTCTTGTCTTTTGTTGTTGCTGTTGCTATCAATTTAAGACCGGAGAAACTCTGCAGACCGTCTGGTTTAACCTTTTGTATAGGACAAGATTTTGCTGTCGGTCCTGCATCCAGTGGGCTGCTGGTGTGCCAAAGGTTCCGCAGCTC